CCCCAAAACCCCAAAACCCCAAAACCCCTGCTTAAATACCTTATGCTGAAATACCTTATGATCAATTTATATATAATTTAACAATGCTAGAACAAAATGGGTACATCATTTACTTACTTCTATTAATGTGTTATTGATAGAATCCTGATACTTTCCTTCCCAGAAGAAGTAAATTTTGGAAACTATTTTGTATAAATTTGGTTTATATCCTTGACAAATCTCTTTTATCTTTAAAATTTCACCTTTATTTTGTATTATCCATTTCCAACATCTCTCTAATTCTCTGTAGAACTGCAGAAGATAAGGCAGTTAACGACCTTATGAACATCACCACTGATACTGATTTCTTCAATCAAGAGATATCAGAGATTCCTCAAAGGGTATCTCATCCGTTGAAAAATTATCGTTTCTTTAGAATTCAAAATTTACATGCTCAAATCTCAAGGAAAATAAAAAGGATTCGAGCAGTGATAGTTATAAAGATTCTTTATTCGATTGGAAGAAAGTATTAAGATCCTAACATTGGCCAGACTAAAGATATAAAAATTAAGAAGAAAACTTACAGAAAGAAAAAGTAAGATCTTTTCAAAATATCATTAAATCCAATTTTTTCTCCAAAAATCCCTTTCTCTCAACCTCCCACAGACTCCCTTCATGCTCCTTCCGTCCTCCATCCCTCACCTCCAGACTCACCGACAACATCACCCCTTGGAGCTCCTCCAAAGACAACATCCTCCTTCTCCCCACCCCAAATCCCCCTTCAAAACCCCTCCAAAAACCCTCCAGCCCCCAAAAATCCCCTACAAAACCCCTCAAAATCCCTTTATCCACCCTCAAAAAGCCAAAATCCTCCAAAACAATCCCTCAATCCTCCCCAAATTCCCCCTGAAAGCACAAAGAATATAGGAAAATGGAGAGGAATTATCAGCATTTTCACCCGAATTGTAAGGTGTTGAGGGGGAAGAATAAGCAAGGGAGGTTGGGAATGGTGGAAGAATGGGGTATAATGAAGGTAATGTGGGTGGTGGGTTTGGAAAGGGATGGGAGTTATGGGAGATTTGGAGAGATTGGAAATTGTGGTTGGGGTTTAGAGAGTTGATAGTAATGGGTTCTGAGATTAGGGTTTTGGGGATTTGAATTAAGTGAGGGAGATATGTAGTGTATTTGAAGTTTATTGGTTGAATTTTGCAGAAAAATTGATTTTTAGAGTTTTATTAATATGGAAATTGATAAAGATAAATTATTTTGATATCTTATTTGACATAAGCTGTTTCTAATATTTTGTTAAATTATATTTTAGAAAAATTCATCCTCTTCCATAAATCCAAACAAATGACTAAAATTAACAAAGGCTAAAATACCAAAAAAGTTTAGCGAGAAGATTGTCAAAGAAAAAGATCTTATTGGAAAACAAAGTACCTTAAGAATATAACTATGTAGACCTTGATAACAAAAAATTGCATAAAAAATCAATAATAAGCATAACCCCAAAGAAAAACTCTCTTTTCTGCCAACCCCCTAAAACCTACCCTCCTGTCACTACAAACCTCAACACTTCTCCAATTCTGAGCATAGGCTACCCTCCAGACCCCTCTTCCAAGTACTCCTCCCTCTAACCCCTAGTTTCCATCTCCAGCCTCCAACTCTTACCCCCAAAACTCCACATTTCCCTCTCTCATCCACCCATTTTCACTCATCTCAAAGCTCAAAACGGGTCTTCCCCCCTGCTCCATCTCAAATTTCCCTGCCCGGCCAATCAGAATTCCAAAAATACCTCTCAGACACATATCTAGGTAAGCCGCAGGGCCTCCCTCTGGTATAACCCGATTGTTTAGATCACGGCAAAGGCCAATTCCAGAAGTTTCTAAAGACACTTAATTTTGGCCTTAAGGCGCCGAAGAAAGTAATGCAGAGAAGAAGGATTAATTCCAAAACACCACAGATTAAGAGTAGGATTAGGAGTTATTTTTGTAGCGATTAGGACTAGAAATCCTAATTTTCATCATAATAAGCATTCTAGTCCGTTTTTCTCACAAGAAAGACTCTCTAGTCCGAATTTGAAGCTATAATCGACGTTGAGAAGTTTCTACTCAAAGTAACCAACAGTACCCAACCTCCCTCCCCCAACCTCCCCATCCCTTCAGCTCAATTCCTTGCCAAACCCCCTAAATTTCCCCGATACCAATTCAAAAGTTGCCACCATCTCTCCTAGCAGTCACCCAAATCTGCCTATATCTAACTTCATAACCAAGGTTTAACATCTTTAAGGAAAATATGCGGTTTTTGGGGGAAATTTGTTAAGGAATTTTGGAAATGAAACTGGATTTTATCTGACTGGGGAAGAAGGAGTAAAGATAATTTTATAATTATCTTCAACAATTTCAACTTAATTCTGTATCTTATAAGCATAGCTATTCTTATGTAGGTTATTACATCACTTAGAATGGTAAACTGCAAACAAGAATTTCTAGTTTTTTTGTTATACATAATTCTAATTTTGCTAGCAAAAACTCTAACTCAAACAAAATAATAGGATTCACTCTAGAATATTATCCTTGGAAGCAATCATTCTAACACTAAAGCCATAATCACTATAACAAGTGCATAAATTCGATCCTAATTTCTAAAATCCTCAATCAAAATGCTTCAATTCTACACAATTTAATAGGGGTTTTGGGGTTTTGGGGTTTTGGGGTTTTGGGG